AGCACAAAACGGTCGCGATTGAAGTAGTTGCAGTTCTTTGGGGAATACTTCATGACATATTTATACAAGGCGATACCAATGGCAGCCATACCCATCGGGGCTCTGTTGAGCTTGGTTAGCGCTGTTCCCATGTTGTCAATTAGGATATACAGGATATGGAGCTGACTCACCCAGCGTGACCTTCTCCATACTGCTGGGCAAGATCAGCAATGAAGGCCCGAAACACATTCATCACACGCTGGTGCTTCTCTGGGCTTTCGAGACCGATACCGACGCCGGCCGAAGCTCCATTGCGAATACCGGAGACTGCTTTGGTGGGCAGACTCTGGATGGGCTTCTCTGTAAGTTCTAGTGCGGGCGCCATAGCCGGTATGTCAAGGCTAACAGCGAAATCAAGAATTTGCTGTTAACAAAAAGGCTATGATAGTGAATTTGAGATTGTCAGGCCAAAGACATCGAGATAGCAGTATTCTTATATCTCATGCCATTCAACCCGATATGCCATATGCCCCAGATTTGAGGCACTGACCAAGTTATGGGTCATGTTGATTCTGGATCGAGACGAAGTCAATCAACTGTCAGTGAGGCCACTGACCATAGGGTCGCCGTGTGTCAGACGCAGTACAAGTATTTCCATAGGGTTCTGGGTGCTGGTCATGGGTCGGAATAGCGCCTCGCTTCGAGACCGGTGACCCTCGCCTCGATGACCCCTCGGCTACGTTACTGTGAGAAACGGACTGCCCCCACAGTGATGATACATGCCTAGCAGGCATAATTAGTCATCTTGACATATCTTTGACTAACTTACTACTGATGAAGTTAATGTCACCAAAAAAGGGTGTCGGATTCCCCTTCCCAACAACATGTTGTACTCCTACAAGCACAAGAGACATGGACTTGGCGTATACGCTTTGAAAAGAGGTGAGTTCACAAAGACCCACAAGTACTTTATAGTATGATTCCAGTTGCTTTATTATCGAACAATATGATCTATGTACATTGTACATGCCTAATATAGAGTTGCATTGAAGTTTACGAGGCCCAAGGTTCCCGCCCCTTTCGGTCATAAAACACCCGAGCCGGGCTATTATTTTATAAGTGACGTGGATGATATCATTTGGAGGAGGCGTTTTCAACCATATCCACCGTAGGAGCACTTTCCTTCCGCCCATGTAGAACAGCGTCAGTAAGCACCAAAGCATCTTGGGTGATTTTCGCCATCTTCTTCTTGGACTGTGGGCCAATGAGCCATTTAGGATTGGTCTCGAACAAGACATCAATATTTTCAAGAGACGCCTTGCGGGTTTCGGGAACTGTGGTGTCAAAATGTTAAGATAGGGTTCAAACTCGGGAAATCCAATCCGTATCGTACGATGCAGGAATACTTACTGAAAAAGTATATCACTGGGATGAAAGACAGATTCGTACATGCCCACAGGATGTAAGTACCATACTGAATGCGAGAGATTAGGACAGGAGATATCATAACAACAAAGAAATTACAGAGCCAGAAAAAGCCGGTGGAGATAGCGACGGATGTTCCACGCGTTTGCAGCGGTGTCAACTCGACGGGTAGCAAGAATGCCAGCCCGTTAGTGCCGATGGCACAGACAGTGTTGAAGATGCTAAACATTCAGGCGTCAGCAATGTAAACAAATAAATATCTATAGACACAATGACTCACAAGACGCAAACTACTGACACGTATCCGTATGCTGTATTGCCTGGATACGCAACGGTGGCGGCGAGAATAGCCATGCTGACACACTGCCCGACCGCCCCGAAAAGCAGCAAGGGCCGACGCCCAAGTCTGTCGATGAGGGGGATTGGAATGAAGCTCGCAATCCAGAATTCCAGGCCGACAAAGCCGGACATCAGCAAACTGAGATGTCGGGAAAACTTCAGTGTATTTTGGAAAATAACGGGACTGTAGTATTTAAACATGATGTGGTAAGCGGGTGATGATCACAATATATTTGAGAGATTGGGGGGTTCCGGACGATAGGACGATAGCTGGACTTACACATAATATGTAATAAGATTGACACCAGTAAGCTGGTACATGCACATCACAAATGCAGACAAGACGAGTCGCTGGAAGAACCGGGGCCTTCCCTGAGTGAAGATAGCCTGCCATTTAGAATCACTTTGGGAATCTTCTTGGAGTGCGTTCTCAATCAGAGACACAACAGTGCACTAGATCAAGCCCGTAACATTAGCAACTCTGTTTATCAAAGGATCTTAATACCACACGTGGTATACGAACAGCTTCAGCAGCGCGTGTAGCAGGATCTTCTTCCAACGACAACATATCAACAACGTCGCGTGCATCATCAACGTTTCCGTTGCGCATCAGAACTCGTGGGGATTCTGATATATCAAATACATTGCACATCAGTCTTCCGGTACAGTGTTTCTATATGAGTGTATTGCCACTTACCCGGAAGAAAGAGTGCCATAACAATAGTCACAGCCGAGAAAGCAGACTGTAGCCCCAGTGGTAGCCTCCATGCCCAACCATTGTTACTGGTACTAGAAGAGGCTGCCAGGCCATAGTCGACCCAGTATGCTAGGGCAATCCCGAACTGCAGGGATCAGCTTATGATTTCTTGTAGGTTGCTGTCAATGCACGCTGGCATACCAGGTTAATGTTAAGTTGCCACATGACGGCTCGACCTCTGTTCTTGGAACGAGAGCACTCGCCATTCCAAGTTGGCAATATAGCAGCTGCCATACCATTGCCAAACCCGGCTGCAGGCAGAATATGTCAGTATTTCTCGATGTTAGGCACTCAGAAGCGAAGTGGAACACACCGACAATACGGCCTACTATTAATTGGGCTAGATCAAAAGAGGAAGCCTGAAGGATGGCACCAATGATAATAATCAGCTCTCCCACCATGACGGTCAGCCTTCGGCCGAACTTGTCACCACTGATTATAACGGTCAAAGCGCCGGCTGCACATCCTAGTTCATAGACAGCCACCTGTTAACGTTAGAAGCACGTCCCCTGGTGAGGGATTGCTGTAAACAGCCCAAGCGCCATCTTCACGTACCGCGAAGCCTTGGAGTGTAGAGTTGCCATTCGAAATGGAAGGGAATGTTGCTTCGAATGATGGGCCCGTGAGAAGACTACCCATGACACCTTGATCGTAGCCGAAGAGCATGTTCCTACATGGCGCACAGGCGTGCGTTAGACTCCGTCTCGCTTGTAAAGCTGGCGGACATACTCACCCAATGCCACATGTAGCAGTAATTAGATACTCGATCCATGCTGATCTAGCCCCTCGGCCTCTAAGGCGCTCGGTGAGGAACGTATAGGGCGTTGTGAATGGTTTCATTCTAATTTTCGTCTCGCAGCTGACTTGGCAATAAGTTTCAATGAGGAATCAAATCTCGCTTGCAGGTAGGTTGAAGAGAAATGTATTTCGCCAAGAACTCCATGAGACTAAGCACTGGGTTTGTTATAATGAAATTACTTTCTGCTGGATCGGCGATAAACAGCTTGGAGGATTGGGGTATCTCCGGATTCCCCGCATTGTGGGGGGTCTCCCTGATTATCGCTGCTGAAATTTGAGGCTTCCTAAAGCTACGTTTGCCATCGTCTCGGGACCGGCCCAGAATTGGACAATTGGTTCGAAACCTTAAAACTGTCATTGAGCCACACGGATAGCCAGAATCTTAAGCTTCCCGCTGCATTCGACGGCGCCTGACCCCAGTAAGTTGCCGTTACTGGCAAAGCGAAGGCGATGAAGTCGCCACATCCAGGTTCTTAACCTTGCCAATTCTGGTGTTCACGATGTGACATTGAGGGTTTTATCCCACCGGTCGCCAATCCCAACCGGTAGGTCTCGATGCGAGCCCCTTGCCCCTCGCAAGCCAACCAGGGCCACATGAGCATCCGTTCACCGGCTGGTTTGATCATCATAGATCCCGTACACCACTTGTGGACCCTGAACTAGCATAACTATGCCGATGACCGTCTCCATATGATAGCTCCAAAGGCCGGGGTAGCTGTGGTATATCCACCGACGGAGAAAAGACTCGAGTTTTTTCTCCAGATTCTGGGGTTAACGGCAGTCCCACATCGCGGCAGCGCAACACATCCGCAAACCAAACTTACCCAGATCGAAGACCATGGTCTCGTGTTATCTCGTGTCTATGTGTTCTCTGCCTTTTCCATATGCAATTAACAGCATTCCAGATACTTGCTATTGCTTCTTGGTACTATTACGATGAAGGCCACTTTCTGTAAAGGGTCTCGAACAGTGGATCGGAGTCAGGCATCGCCCCAAGCTGACCATGTAGCCACTGGCAGAGTATCATACGATAGCTGCACATTCCAATCTATGATATCCACGTTCACATGATCTTGGATCGCAGAAATAGACACTAAGTGTAATTTGCTCGTCGATAGGTGGCTTCGTGACGAGAGTTAATTACCCCCTGTCCCATCACCGTGACTCCCATTTATCGCACAAAAGACTATGAATATAGCTGTGCCTGTCATTCGAGCTGATTACAGCATGATCTTACATGCAAGAGAATGTGTATATACTAGGTATTACTACCACTAAGCAATTTTCCTTCCAAGACAATGTCATTCAATATGTTCCCTTGTTCGAAACTGGATTCCTCCTAGCTAGCCAATGTCCGCTACGGTCAACTGCTATCCACCTCCATGAGTACTGCAATACAACGCCTTTACGAATGGCGTCAATGGCGCAAAGAAATGGTCCCGCAGTTGGCCTCGATGCGAAACACTTCGACCCAATTGCTCATTGCTGTCCGGGGTGTGGGGAAACCCCGAGGGGCGCGGAGAAAGATTGTGGAGGCGGATACGGTCTTGCTTAATCCGGGGCATGACAGGTGGCCTGATGGCCGCGGGTTTATCTGACACCGAGAAACTTGGACATACTCGAACTAGTTAGCCAGCTTTGTATATCTCGGGCACAGTGGTGGGACATAAACCTGACAAGCCCACTACTCCAGCCCTTGACGCCTTTTCTCTTCGACTACTGTCCTCGCTGTATTTACAAGCCATCATGGACACAGTCGACATTCACGAGGGACACCTCAAGGATGCCTCATCGCACGAAATCGAAGATGTAGATGCGACCGAGGTGATTTCCTTCACGCCAGAGGAGGAGAAAGCACTGGTGAGGAAGATTGACATGACCCTTCTACCTACCGTCTGGGTCATGTATCTCCTATCTTACCTGGACCGGACCAAGTAAGTGTGGCTATGTCCACATTTGTAATTGACCATATTTCAGGGGCTAATGGTTGTCTCTGTGCAGTATCGGCAATGCCAAAATCTCCGGGATGCAGGTAGACCTCCATCTGACCTCAAACGAATACTCCATTGCTCTGGTTGTCTTCTTTGTCGGATATGTGGTGTTCGAAGTTCCTAGCAAGTATGGCTTCTCTACGCACGTGTATTAGACTGAGACTATAATAACCAAGCGTTGTTTGCAAACAGTTTGGCGTTGGGTCGGTCTCGTCCATCCATCTTCCTCTCTACCATCATGATTCTCTGGGGCGCATTGACCTGTGTCATGGCTGTTGTCAAGGACTTCTCGCATCTGGTAGTCCTGAGAGTCATCATTGGGTGCATTGAGTCTGGCTTTGCACCCGGAGTATTACTGGTCTTGTCATCATGGTACAAGCAGACCGAGCAGTCCAGGAGATTCGGCGTGTTCATCTCGGCGGCCGTTCTATCAGGTGCCTTTGGTGGACTCATTGCGGCCGGCATTGTCGACGGCCTTGAAGGTGTGCATGGAATTAGAGGCTGGCGATGGCTTTTCATCATCGAAGGTGTTATCACCGTTGGTTGTGCGCTCGTATCTCTTTTCGTCCTGCCTGACTTTCCTGCTACAACGCGACGACTGTCCGATCGCGAGCGGCAGATAGCTGTGGCCCGACTGGCCAGGGAGAATGTCACGGCAACCACCGAAGATACCGAGCATTTGAGTAGCTTGGGGGCGTGTAGAGTAGCCTGCAAAGACTTCCGCACCTGGGCCTTTGTGATTGGATATATGGTTCGTTGATTCTTTTGCCTGGCTTGATCTTCCATGATACCTATACGACAAACCAGATTCCCTTACTTAACTTGTCTCTTGAATTTTAGGTCATCGTTGGGTCAAGCACTCTAACATACTTCTATCCTACCCTAGTCAAAGGGCTCTTCGGCGACGCGTCCACCGAGAAAGTTAACTTCCTGACCGTTCCGATCTACGGCGTGGCCTTCGTTGCCACAGGTGTCACGTCCTACTGCGGTGATAAGTTTCCCACATGGCGTGGGCTAATCATTGCTGGCTGGCTGGCATTTTCCCTGATCTGTTCCGTCATTGTCTGTGCTGTGTATAACTTCACTGCTCGATATGTACTCCTGGTTCTTATGGCCGCTGGGCTTTGGTCCACCAATGGCGGTACACTGGCGTATGCCTCCTCGGCCTTTGCTGGAATGCATCCGCAGGCTAGGGGTGTTGCTTTGGCGATGGTAAATGCGCTGGGCAATTTAGCACAAATTTACGGATCGGTATGTGCTTTACCCCAACGTTGATGTTCCCTAGTGCTAGAGCTAATTGAGATGTAACAGTATCTTTTCCCTGACAAGGACAGCCCGAAATACATCATGGGGTTCTCTGTGATCTCTGCTATGCTGGCAGTGGGCGTGGTTGTCTTTCTGGTCTTGCACATCTGGTTCCGTCGCCGTCTACGGTCGGGGAACGTCCAGTGATGGTGGTGTGAATGCGGGCGGCTCATGGATGGCAATATCACAATCCATGCTTCACCATCTAAGTCGGAACTCTTCTCCTTCAGGAATCAACTATAGGTAGAAGTCAATCCACCGACTCATTCAAAAACAATTGTCTCCGATTGTAGTAGGTTCCCGTAGACTGGCTTTTAATACGACATTAAACATGACTTATCCTGCTCAACATATTTTTTTGTGTTTCGGAATTGATGTGGAGTATGATGTGAAACAGGGTTACAACTCCTTTGGCCAATAACTTAGGCAAAAAATTAACAAAACTGTGACTTGAGACGACGTTCAGGAGCATGATTTTGTCATAAATGCATATACATCAGTCTCCAGCCACAAGCATAGGTGCAAACTGGAGAGAGCGTCGATAGTGTGGCCAAGGACAAAACTGCAACAAGCGAGATACCGTGTGGAGATACCGAGATGCGCTCCGACCACCGCTGATCCGGGGTGGCCTCGAAGCGAGGCACTGAAAGACCCACCGGCCCATAGGATATTGGATGCAGATCGCAAATTGACTTGGACTCGCTTCGGCAACCAACGACCATCGCAGTTGTGTCCCATTGGCCACATTCTTCCCCGGAGAACTGAGGCATTGGCTAACCCGTGGCAGCAAGAGCATGTCCCCAGAGAGCCATGCGACGCCTGTCTATCGAGCACTGCTATCTCATGGCCCACAGAGCAAATGTTGGAGAGACTTAAAATAGGCAAGTCGCCCCCTGCAACAGCCAGCCAACCTTCCAAAGATCTTAACATCACCTAAACACATCTTCCACCATGCCTCCAAGTATGCTTGACACCCCAGCGACCAGCGGCAACGGCAACGCGACCGCATCCAACACGTCACCAGCCTTCCTCGACACCACCCCAGGCCCAGACCATGACTGGAAAGTGTCCTTGAAGGGCAAAGTGATTGGCATCACCGGAGGCAACAGGGGTATTGGGCTGGCTCTCGCACAAGTGTGTCTCGCCAACGACGCAGAGGCTATCTATAGCTTAGACATCTTCGAGCCCGGCGAGGAATTCGCTGCCCTTCAAAAAGCTCATCCAAAGCGACTTCACTACGTCCACTGCGATGTGACATCCGAGGAGAGCGTCAACACTGCCATCGACGCTGTCATCGCCGCACAAGGTGCGGTCCACGGTTTCATTGCCAATGCCGGCATGACGAAACACCAGCCTGCCTTCGACTTCAGTCGCGCCCAGATCGATCAATTGTTCAACTTGAACGTCTTCGGCGCTTACTTCTGCGCTACTACTGTCGCTCGTCGTTTCATCGACCTCGGAATCAGGGGGTCTATTGTCTTCACGGCTTCGATGACTTCCTATCGCCCCAACCGTGCAGCTCCTTCCGCTCCCTATGGAGCCACCAAGGGTGCCGTGCGGAACATGACACACACTCTGGCCATGGAGTGGGCCAAGCATGGGATTCGCGTCAACTCGGTATCGCCAGGGTTCATCAAGACGGCCATGACTTACTTTGTGGATCAAGCCCCGGACTGGGATCTCAAGATGCAGTATTATGGCGGTATGCCCAGGTTGGCGGATCCCAAGGAGCTGGGCGGAGCTTATGTATATTTGCTTTCTGACGGTGCGTCGTATACGACAGGCATTGATATTCCCGTGGCGGGAATTGTGGGGGCATGGTAGAAATTAGAATTATAGAGACAATCTCAAAAAACATACTTTATGCATTATGCGATCGTTGTACCTTAGAACATTTGTGATTAAAATTACCAATAGATTTAGTGTAGTCATTGAACTTCTCTCATAAGATACATGTGGTGACATGGGCTCCGTGAAATACATCGTATTATATACATCTTCTATACCTGGTCGGGACCTCATTCCTGCCACACTCTCTGCAGTCGGGTAATAAGACCTTTGGCTGGAAACTTACTTATCCGTAACATGTTATTCAAAATGCGTAGCAGCTCCTCTCGCATCTCGGGCGACCGAACAAACTGGCCAACTGGTATTATGTTAGTCTTGGACCAGAATAGCATGAGTGTGACTTACCTCCAAATAACGCTTGCACATTGATGAATGCCATTGCGCAGTCATGCTCCTGGCACGAATTGGCAATTCCACAGACCATTTTGACACTTTCCGTCAGCTGCTTATCGCGAAGCAGGTAGGCATTAAGTCCGCCCAGCGTGGGCTGGTTCAGCAGGACTGTCGCCTTAGCGAAATGGTACATCTGCATGGCACCTGCATGATTTCGCGGATGGATCCATATCGGAGGAAAGACGACGCTTGAACCAGCACCCCCGGCAACTGCCACGGGCTGGTACGAGGCGGGCAGGATATGATACCACTCGTCGAGCGCACTCAGGAGTCGGTCACCCTGCTCAATCCGTTCTCTCGGATCCTGGTGTGGCGGGATTGCAGCCGAGGCGGCATATTTCACACACTTCCCGCAAAGGTAGACAATTCGTGTAGCTAGCTCGTCCGAGCTGAGTTCCTCGAGAGGTTTGCGTGCACGCCAGAAGGTGATGGTGGGCCGGCCCGCCTGAAAGGCTGCCCAAATGTCTTGTCGCAACCAAGCCCACCATACGGCCTGTCGCAGACCATCGGCCGACTCGCCATCATTATCCTGAGACCGCTGGATCCAGAACGAGCCGCGCAGATGCTGCTCCCAGACACTGCTATTCGCAGCGCTGTCCGCATCAAACATTTCATATGTGCTGATCATGGTGGCTGTCGCCAAGATCTCGTGAGAGTCGGCATAGGATGGATATAGTAGTGTTTGTGAGAGATAGTGAAGGGTTTCGTAGTAGTACTGGGTCGCCATGTGGGTTGGAGCAGAGTCTGATTCTGTCGACAGAACGGTTCCGGGCAATGAAGCTGGGGTACCTGCTACATGGCCATCTGCTGCATCTCCATCCCCTCTATGCCGAAGACATAGAGACATGTGCTTGGCGCCCACTGCGAGGATAGACTTCAACAGCCCCGTGTTTCGTAGTGCCAGATGGGGCACAACATTACTGAAATGGTGAGCGGGATCAAACAAGTCTAGAATCGGCCCAACCACCTCGATATAGTACTGAAAGAAGGTGAGGTCGGTTGGCGATAGTTGTAGCCTACTTGTGTTGTTCCAAGGCTGGGATAACTGCTGATAATCTGGTAAGGGTGGTCCAGTGTGGCCATCTCCATGGGTCAGAGCGTGTCGCTGCTGCTCGTTGTAACTCGCCTCCTGCTGAAGCCGAGCCCCGGGATGTTCAGGGGCGGGTGACTGCCTACGAGAGAGTGCAATCTCAGGAAATCGCCATCTGGGGTCGCTGCTTGACGTATCATTCAATCGTTGGATGTGGTTAATGGCATCCCGCGCTAGCAAGTCGTACCACTCGAAGGGGGAGATATTCAGCAGCGAGATTTGACTTAGCGAAACTGGCGATGTCGGGAACGCAGGGTCAAGGCTAGGCAATCTCTGCTCATTATGTTCGTGCAAGGGGTCAAAGTGCGGCGACTCGACTGAGCCGTCTGGATGCAGTGGTACAGCGGCCTCAGGAATGACCGAGGCGGTCGGAAGAGACGTCGATGCTGCCACAACATTCGAGTGATATTCTTGGGGCTTCGGGGAGCTCTCCTCGACAGCATCTCCATTGCTCGCCCTGTTGTCCTCAACACGGACCTCCTGGCGACCCGTTCCTTTGGGACTCGAATGCGCCCTGGTGGGCTCCCGGTCGGCCGCCGAGGGAGCTGCAGCTTTAGCTGCATGTCTGTGATCAGAGTGCTGTGTTGCGTCCGAGGCATACCGACAGATGCGAGTAGACTTAGAGCATCGCAAGCAGGTCGGCTTACTGTCATCGCACTTGACGCGTCTCTCTCTGCAGGTAAGGCTGTCTGGTGTGTAAGCGAGCTTGATGTTCGCTTAGGTGCCATTGTGAAGATGGCAGAGCAGTTAACCAAGCAAGAGAGGGTCCACCTACCATCCTGTCTTCGTTCTCAATCCACGTGAGCGTGAGGGTCTGATGCGTCGACGCGACTTCCCCGTGGCGCTGCCCCTCGTTTTTGAGCGTTGCGATGATGAGTTGCCACCGACATTCATGGGGGACGCATTCTTCACTATGGAGTAGCAGTTCTGGAGTTGAGGGAGTGGCTTTCGTCTCGAGGGCCTCCCGTCCGTTAAATACCCGTTCGTTACCCGGTACCATTCTTACCCCGCGTTTGGTCTGCCCCACTTCGATGTACGTATTGCAAAGAAAAAGTGAATCTTTCAGCCACTATTTAGTGGAGGGAGAAAAGGGAAATTCAAAATGGCGATAAGATACTGTTCAATTATGAACACATGGTTGACGTCTAACCCAGTTATTCAGCAACTCTGTTGTTCATCAATGACCCTTAGAGTGAGGAGCAGCTTCCGGGCTGAAAAAATATATAAATATACAGTGAGAGCACAGTGGGGAGTGCCGACAAGGAATTCTGTGAAGCAGAAGTAGACCACCATCTATATAGACATCATACAAGTATAGTAGGGGACCTCAAATCTAGATCCTTTACAACTCTGTGCCTGAACAGCGTAGCTCAAGATCTACGATTTGATGAATTCTGAAAATATCCACCCCTTCTCGATTCTCCACAAACCGAACCCTATCCCTGGCTACCAATTTGACGCTTTATGAGGGGAGAGACCTAGACTTGTAATGTATGGCTCTTGTATAAGCATCTATTCGTCCATTAGAAATTCCCTCCTATGTTATCTAGAACCTGGTGGCTACTGAGGGCTGAAACCCGACTTATAGCAAAGGCAGTAATTTACGTCAAGAAAAGTATTAAAACTACACGAGCATCCCAACTGCGCGCAATGCAGACATGGATGTTGGACCTAAAGTATGTATTCTACACTAATTGTGTCAGTCGTTCGTCCTTGCATCCACGGGCTCATCATCGGCCGGCTCATAGTGGACGCTCACATCTACCATGACTGCTTTCTTGTCGCTACCAATACCTGGCATCCAGTGGCATTCATGATTCCTAATACCACGTGGCTCCCACTTCATAGTATGAACCTTTTCTGTCCGGAAG